TATTTTTGATTGTGTGTGTATTTTTGGATGTGTGTGTATTTTTGGATTGTGTGTGTATTTTTGGATTGTGTGTGTATTTTTGGATTGTGTGTGTATTTTTGGATTGTGTGTGTATTTTTGGATTGTGTGTGTATTTTTGATTGTTTATTCTTTTTGTTGTTTCGTTCTGTTTGGTGAAATGAGTCAAACCTGTCGTGTTTTTTCAGACCAATGAGAGCAACATCGTGTCCAAACCCATCAACCCGTTCACCTCTCGGGACGAGCAGAAGGCGGCGGGTGCGGCAGGGGCGGCAGGTGCGGCGGGTGCGGCAGGTGCGGCGGGGGCGGCGGGGGAGGTGGCGGTCGCCGGCTCCAGCAAAGCTCTGCCCAGTTTTTGGATCCCGTCTCTGACTCCCGAAGCCAAACCGACGTTACTGAAGAAGCCGAGTAAAACGGTGCTGTGCCCGATGTCGGGGCGTCCGCTGCGCATGAACGACCTGGTGGACGTGCGCTTCACGCCGCTCGACCCGTCGCTCGACCGCGTCAAACTGCTGAGTCGACAGGAGCGTTACGTGTGCGCCGTGACCCGAGACGTGCTGGGGAACAGCGTGCCCTGCGCCGTGCTCCGCCCCTCCGGCGCCGTGGTGACGCAGGAGTGTGTGGAGAAGCTCATCAAGAAGGACATGACCGACCCGGTGAGCGGCGACGCCCTCGCCCACAGTGACATCATCTACCTGCAGCGAGGAGGCACCGGCTTCGCTGGCTCAGGCGTCGACCTCAGGGCCAAAGAGGCGCGGCCCGTCATGCAGGCGTAGAACCCACAACCCGCCGCCGACAGGGGCCGACAGGGGCCGACAGGGGCCGACAGGGCCTCTGCAGCTTTCAAAAAGGACATATTTTCTGTCAATTCTGAAATATTCTCACATTCTAATTTTATCTCAGAACAGAAGTTTTACACACAGTGTGAAGTGTCACTGTGGAACTTCAGGGTCATGTTTTTCTCTGTATGTGTGTGTAAATGTGTGTGTAAGGGTGTGTGTTTAAATATGTGTGTGTAAGGGTGTGTGTTTAAATATGTGTGTGTAAATGTGTGTAAGGGTGTGTGTTTAAATATGTGTGTGTAAATGTGTGTCTTGGTTGAAGATTTGGTGGAGCAGATTTATGAAGCTGTTGGAGAAGACGACACATTTACACATTTAGACAGAAACATGACCTTGAAGTTCCTTAAACCTACAGCGAGACACTTCACACTGTGTGTAAAAGTTCTTTCCTTCTGTCGTCTTTAAACACGTTTGACTCGTCAGTGGCGCCCCCTGTGGTCAGTCAGTGTGTTTACGTCTCAGGTTGTGGGTTCTACTGCCGCCTGCTCCGTTAGAAAACATTCAATTCTGTTTATTATTGAACACGTCACGTCTTTACAGGTGCAAATGTAAATGTAATTTTTATTTTTATTTTTTAAATAAAAGGAGTGAGATTTTCACATGAATATTGTCACTGTCAGGATCAGATGAACCTTTTATGAAGCACCAAGAGTCTGAGACCAACTCATTTGATTGACAGGTGGATCAGCCCAGTTGAACAGTTTAAACCAAACTCATGATTATTACAGTTGGAGTCATGTGATCACATCTACAGATGAACAAAGATCCTTTAACAGTTTAAACCATCTGAGGTGAAAACTCAAGTCCAGTTACTGATTCTCCAAAACAACTGTCCCCAAAGTGTTTCCTGGTCAAACTCATTAGACTCTTAAACCCAAAAACAGAACCTTGAGCTTTGTTTTTCTATTGGACAGATTCTGCTGAGCCACTGCAGGAAATGTGGATAAAAGTCATTTCCTGTATTTTGGTGGATTTTTCCTCAAACGTCCAGCTGCTTCCAGGTTTCCAGGACTTTTGTCAGATTCAGTGTGAACAGGACAATATAATAACAAAAATCCTGTTCTTCATGTGAGTTTGAGTCAAACGTTTGTAACTGTTCAACAGTTGATCAGATTCATTTGTGTAAAGTGTAAAAACCGTTTCAGTGTGAACATAAACATGAACGAAAAAGACCCAAATAAAAGTCAAACTGATGTTTAAGTTTCAGATGTTTATTGAGTTTCTGGTTGTTTTAGTCAAACAGACCAAAGCCCATGTCGTCGTCGGACTCCTCGCTCTCCTCCTTCACTTCCTCTTTGGCGGCGGCGGCCGGAGCGGCGGCCGTCTCCGCCGCGGCCACAGGGACCGCCGCCGCGAACGCCGACGGGTCGGCGAGGAAAGCCTTCACCTGAGGAGAGGGGGCGGGGTTAATACCACAGGGACACCTTCACCTGACGGGGGCGGGGTTTGGGAGTTTACCTTGTCGGCGAGGGGGAAGGAGTACTCGGTCTCCACGGCGACGGCGAGGACGCGCTTGTACCCGTTGATGATGGAGTGGGGGATGGACGCCAGAGTGGGATACCCGATCTCCAGACACACGCTCGCCACGTTCCTCACGCCCTACGACAGAAACGCCGTCAGAACCGAGCACAGCCACAAAGGTCCAACAACTCATCAGAAACGTGAAACGAGGTTCGAGTGAGAGTGTGTGTGTGTGTGTGTGTGAGAGAGTGTGTGAGTGTGAGAGTGTGAGAGTGTGTGTGTGTGTGTGTGAGTGTGTGAGAGTGTGTGTGTGTGTGTGTCCGTGCGTCTCGGCTCCGTCACAAACACACGGGCTGAGATAAGCTGGAGACACTTTAGTTTGTGCAGGGGGAACGTCAGGAACAACACTGACCTGCTGCTCTGGAACTAATCCTGCTACAGAAAACACACACACACACACACACACACACACACACACAGAACCCCCCCCCCCCCACACACACAGAACCCCCCCCCACACACACACAGAACCCTATAGAACCACGCACACAGAGCTGGAGTTGTGTTTGTTTCACACATTTAAGCCGAGTTTTAGACGAATAAAGTTTCACTCAAACGTGTGAATGAAACGACTCGAGCTCCGTCTGTGCTGAGGAACATCCAAGTCCCGTTGTGTAAAGTGTGGAGTCCCGTTGTGTAAAGTGTGGAGTCCCGTTGTGTAAAGTGTGGAGTCCCGTTGTGTAAAGTGTGGAGTCCCGTTGTGTAAAGTGTGGAGTTCCGTTGTGTAAAGTGTGGAGTTCCGTTGTGTAAAGTGTGGAGTTCCGTTGTGTAAAGTGTGGAGTTCCGTTGTGTAAAGTGTGGAGTTCCGTTGTGTAAAGTGTGGAGTCCCGTTGTGTAAAGTGTGGAGTCCCGTTGTGTAAAGTGTGGAGTCCCGTTGTGTAAAGTGTGGAGTCCCAAAGTGTGGAGTCCCGTTGTGTAAAGTGTGGAGTTCCGTTGTGTAAAGTGTGGAGTTCCGTTGTGTAAAGTGTGGAGTTCCGTGGGCGTTTGAGCGTCTGACCTCGAGGAACTTGGTGTGCAGCGAGGCCTCGGTGATGTCCAGGACCTCGGGGCTGTACACGCTGCCGTTGTCGTAAACTTGTTGGATGATCAGACCGAAGGAGAAGGGGGAGATGTTGAGCATGTTGAGGAGCGTGGCCTCGCTGGCGCCGACCTTATCCCCCGTCTTGATCAGGCTCACGTCGCTCTGAGGAGACGAGACAGGAGAGTCAGATGCCCTCCCGCACTCAAACACTGATCAAACACTTTACACATGAAACAGCAGAAAAACTAAACGAGAGCTGCACAGAACCAGCGTCACGTTCACTCAGACTTGAACCAGAACCACAGCACAAACCACCAGCAAACTTTACTCATTTATAATAAAAAAAGTTTAAAACTGTTCGTGGGACATTTTGTAAAATCATAAAAATCTCCACAACTCGGCAGGAAAAAACAAACAAAACTGCTCCTCAAGGTTCTTCCAGAATCCGTGTGTCGTTCGTTCATCAATATAAAACCAAAAATAAGAAAACGAATAAATGATTTGTCTCCAAAACCAAAATGAAAAAACAGATAATGATTCGTTTTCAGTTTTGGGTTTAAATTCAGAATAGAAAAAACAGATAAAGACCGTTTCCTGTTTACGTGACTTCAGTGACTCTGATGTTGAACTTTTGCACCGCGTACGAACTGATCCAGGACTGATCCAGGACTGATCCAGGACTGATCCAGGACTGATCCAGGACTGATCCAGGACTGATCCAGGACTGATCCAGGACTGATCCAGGACTGATCCAGGACTGATCCAGGACTGATCCAGGTCCGGGACCAGAGCTTTGACTCTGACCCTCTGCGGGGTCCGAGCCTCAGGTCTGGCCCCAGTCTGGCCTCCACATGGACTTTACACAGAAACTGGACGATTTGAAGCTTTGGTGTGAACGAACCTTTACAGTCTGGAGCCTTTTGGAAATTTTAAATCCTCCAGCTGCAGCTCCACAAATTTAAAAGTCAATTCTAATTATTGAATGTTTCACTGAAAACGTCACGATGCTGCTGCTGTTTTGTGTTTTTATGCAGATATTTTCTACAGACACGTGATCAACTGACAAAAGCATCTGGTCTGTTTCTTTTCTTTAAGACGTCACAAACGTTTATCGGGTCAAATGTTCTGACAGTTCAGGCGACATGTCTGAGACCGTACGTCCCCGGCTGCCACAGAGGCAGACGGAGATAGCGAGGAGACACTTTCTGTTTGCAGGGGGAACGACCGGACAGCACCACACAGCTGACCAGAAGATGACCTGCACTTTCACCTTTCACCTGTGAGGAAAAAAACTCCTGCTGGACACCAGTCTTTTTTAAGTCTGAAGATTCCATTTTGATCAAACTCTCAGAACTAATCCTGCTACAGAAAACTAACACGCACACACACACAGAACCCCCCGTCCTCCCCGGTCGTACCAGGATCTCGATGGTTCCTCTGGAGATCTTGGTGGTGATGCCCAGAGCCTGGAAGAAGGACGTCTTCTCAGGCCCCAGCCCAGTGTTCTGAGCGGGAACAGTCACGTCACAGGGGGCGATACCTCCAGCGCGGGCGGCGGCGGGAACCTGACACACACACACACAGACACACACACACACACACACACACACACAGACACACACACAGACACACACACACACACAGTGACACACAGACACAGACAGACACACAGACACACACACACACACACAGAGACACACACACACACACAGACACACACACAGACACACACACACAGACAGACACACACACACACACACACACACACACACACACACACACACAGACACACACACACACAGACACACACAGAGACACACACACACACACACACACACAGACACACACACAGTGACACACAGACACACACACACAGAGACACACAAAAACAGTCATGAGATTTTTAAAGACCTGGAGTGTTTGTGTAGTTGTGATTTCTGAGGATCATTGTTTTAATTTGGACATTTTAAATCCAAATGGACTTGGACACAGTTTAATCCCGTGTGCGCGTGAGTGACTGTGTGTGTGCGCGCGCGAGTGACTGTGTGTGCGCGCGCGCGAGTGACTGCGTGTGTGACTGTGTGCGCGCGCGCGAGTGACTGCGTGAGTGACTGTGTGCGCGCGCGAGTGACTGTGACACTGCGTGTGTGACTGCGTGTGTGACTGCGTGTGTGACTGCGTGTGTGACTGCGTGTGTGACTGCGTGTGTGACTGCGTGTGTGACTGCGTGTGTGACTGCGTTATTGAATGTTTCACTGAAAACGTCACGATGCTGCTGCTGTTTTTGTGTTTTTATGCAGATATTTTCTACAGACACGTGATCAACTGACAAAAGCATCTGGTTTGTTTCTTTTCTTTAAGACGTCACAAACGTTTATCGGGTCAAATGTTCTGACAGTTCAGGCGACATGTCTGAGACCGTACGTCCCCGGCTGCCACAGAGGCAGACGGAGATAGCGAGGAGACACTTTCTGTTTGCAGGGGGAACGACCGGACAGCACCACACAGCTGACCAGAAGATGACCTGCACTTTCACCTTTCACCTGTGAGGAAAAAAAAAAAAAAAAAAAAAAACTCCTGCTGGACACCAGTCTTTTTTAAGTCTGGAGATTCCATTTTGATCAAACTCTCAGATCGTCAGAACCCACGACTCCTGACATCTTTAAATTATCTGATGCACTTTTCCCTCTCATTTCCCGTGACACTTTAAAGCCACAGTGTGTAACTTTAACCAAAAACACTCAAAAGCAGCATTTTTCTTCTGTTTTGGTTATAAAAGTTACACAGTGCAGCTTTAACATGTAGAAACTCTGGTCCAGATGTTTTAAATCTTGAGCTGGTTTATTGAAGTGTTCCTGAAGCGTCGTGTCTGTGTGTCTGTCTGTGTGTCTGTCTGTGTGTCTGTCTGTGTGTCTGTCTGTGTGTCTGTCTGTGTGTCTGTCTGTGTGTCTGTCTGTGTGTCTGTCTGTGTGTCTGTCTGTGTGTCTGTCTGTGTGTCTGTCTGTGTGTCTGTCTGTCTGTGTGTCGAGTCGACTCACCTTGTTGGCGAGCAGCATGTCCCGGACCTCGGCCAGATCCTCTTTGGTGAACACGAAGCCCACGTTTCCCCTGATGTGAGGGAGGAGCCTGAGCACAGACACGGACAGAGTCACACGACTGATGTTCACATGTTCACACAGTCCCAGTTTAAAGTGTGTGTGTGTGTGGTGTGTTCATGTGTGAAACCGTGCGTCTCAGCTCTGTCACACAGACAGACTGAGATAAGCTGGAGACACTTTAGTTTGTGCAGGGGGAACGTCAGGAACAACACTGACCTGCTGCTCTGGAACTAATCCTGCTACAGAAAACACACAAACACACATATACACACACACACATATAAACACACACACACACACACAAGGAGTGACTTGAGTTTTTAGTGACTTGAGCTTCATGTGGTGTCCGTCAGAGTTTATATTTGTGTTTGGGCTCAGGGGCTGGGTTATGGTTCTACTAGTGATGTGCATTCGATGAAATGTTCTTAAATGTTCTTTTTCTATTAAAATGATCATCATTATTATTACTATCTGCACTAATCTGCATCAATAAATTCAACTTTACGACATATAAACATAACGACTCTAGATCCACATCAGCTGTTTGACATTATAATGTGTTTAATTCAGTTTTGTTCAAATCTCACAGAAACAAAACTTAAAACCACATCACTAATTTACATAAACTAAGTGAAGATAAAACTCCAGCTCTTGTGTCGCTGATGTGGTTCAACTTGTGTCGGATTAAAAGACATGACTCAGGTGAATACAGGTCAGTGTGACCAGATTTGTGTTTGTCAAAACCAGGACAGCGTACGGGGGGAGGGGGGCGGGGCCTCGTCATCCACATTGAGCGACTCTCACCTGGAAAAACTTTTTCCCACTGGACACAGAAACATATGTGCTGCTTTATCCACTGTGCACATGGACTCACACTTGTCCCAACGCAACGGAAAGTGTGGAATTTCTTCTACAAATCCTGGTTAAATCCACATTTGTGCTTCGGTTCGTTACAGACTGACCCACTGTTTGTGTCTCGCTCCTTCTGATGCAGAGACACATGTACACACCTGTTTGGTCACGACACACACACATACATTCAGTTTGTACATTAAAATGAATGGAATCAAATTCTTAATGACCAATTATCGATTAATCCTGCCCATCCCTAGTTTCTACTTTATAAAATGTACAAATGACCAAAGCTCAACCTTCCTCTTCGTCTCTGAACGTTAGAAACAGACCACACTCACTTAAATCATCAATTATTGTGTTTTTTTTATTTGCTGCAATAAAATTTAAATGGTTTTGGTCTGAGCGGCGGCGCAGCCACGGGTCACGGCCGCTCGCTCCCCCAGGCGTCTGCACCAGATCCACAAACGTCAATTCAGTTCTTTAGTTTTTCTACAACATGTGAAGAAACTGACAAAGCAAACAGTTTTCAAAAAACCCATGACAGTTTGAAATGATCCTCCCAGACCCAGACCCAGACCCAGACCCTCCTACAGCCACGGGACTCACCCAGCGCCACAGGTCTGCTCTGTGTAAACTCACTTCTCGAGGGAGGGGTTTTGGGGGCGGGGTTACGCTCAGGTGTGTGGAGGGGTTTTGGGGGCGGGGTTACGCTCAGGTGTGTGGCGGGGAGGTGTGTGGAGGGGTTTGGGGGCGGGGTTACGCTCAGGTGTGTGGAGGGGTTTGGGGCGGGGTTACGCTCAGGTGTGTGGAGGGTTTTGGGGGGGGTTACGCTCAGGTGTGTGGAGGGGTTTTGGGGGCGGGGTTACGTTCAGGTGTGTGGAGGGGTTTTGGGGCGGGGTTACGCTCAGGTGTGTGGAGGGGTTTTGGGGGCGGGTTACGCTCAGGTGTGTGGAGGGGTTTTGGGGGCGGGGTTACGCTCAGGTGTGTGGAGGGGTTTTGGGGGCGGGTTACGCTCAGGTGTGTGGAGGGGTTTTGGGGCGGGGTTACGCTCAGGTGTGTGGAGGGTTTTGGGGGCGGGGTTACGCTCAGGTGTGTGGAGGGGTTTTGGGGGCGGGGTTACGCTCAGGTGTGTGGAGGGGTTTTTGGGGGCGGGGTTACGCTCAGGTGTGTGGAGGGGTTTTGGGGCGGGGTTACGCTCAGGTGTGTGGAGGGGTTTTGGGGGCGGGGTTACGCTCAGGTGTGTGGAGGGGTTTTGGGGCGGGGTTACGCTCAGGTGTGTGGAGGAGTTTTGGGGGAGGGGTTACGCTCAGGTGTGTGGAGGAGTTTTGGGGGAGGGGCCGCTCTCAGGTGCGTACTCACTTCTCGAGGGAGGGGTTGTTCTCCAGGTGCCCGCGGATGGCCTTCCTCATCATGGTGTTCTTGCCCATCAGGACCACAGCTTTCCCGCGCAGGGACATGCGGATCGTCTGCATCTGCTTCGACCCCACGTTGTCCGCGCCCACGATGAAGCAGCGAGGATAATCATCCAGCAGTTGCTACGGAAACAGCACAGCGTCGTTACCATGGCAACGCTCCACACGAGGAAACAGGACGACGATATTTAAATTATATCTTTATATGACATGGATTCTGGGCCGATGTGGCTCTAGAGTCATGTTTTATGTTGTAAAGTTTATTTATGCAGAAAATTTGAAGAATCTGCTGCAGTTTTGAACTTTTACTTAAACAGTTTGGAAAACATTCCACACACCAATGTTTCTGTAAATAAACTTAAGAGTTAAAAGTTTGAGACACAGATCATTGTGACATTTCAAATGTTGATGTGTAATAATTCTGTTAAAGTGTAAATCAGTTGAACTCGTCTGTTCAGACGTTTGAAAGAACAAAATTATTAATGTTCCAGCGTCTAAAAACCTGAACCACCGAGTTTAATTCTCATATTTAACTTTTAGAAAAACAACGAAGCACAAAAGTGCCGTTCATCTTTGCAGCGTTTTATTTCAAGTTTTACTCGTCTTAAAAAGCCTCGTGTGATGAGTGAGAAGGAAACTACAAAGTCCAGATTAAAACCAGTCAAACTTGATTACGGGATATTTTATTGTATATTTGTCCTCTGCATCTGGAGTGTCTGATCAGGACTGAGACTCGTCTCCGTGATCCGGGTCAGGACTTTCTCTGGGGGATTGGTTCTTATGGAGGTTCAAGTTTTGGGTTCAAATCTGCTCATGAACTCAGGAAAAACCCAGAGACACAAAACCTCCCAAAAAACACAAAACTGCACAAAAACTCAGCAGTTTGTTTTATTTGTGCTGCAAAAAGTTTTATTTGTGCAGTTATGTGAAACAGCCTCAAAACAGGCAAAAAATATTCAATATTTGTGTTTAGTTTGTGCTGTGACAGTTTGTGAGTTTATTTCTAAAATTATTTTGGTCATTTGTGTTCAGTTGACGACAGCGACTTAAACAAAACTCGTGAAGAGAAACGAGCGGAGTCTGTGGAAAACTCTTATTACAGAAAATATTAATCAAATCAAGTCCCTACAGACACACTTTTCCACAGACTCGGGTCGTTTCTCTTCACGAGTTTTGTTAAAGTCGCTGTCGTCAACTGAGCGAACAAAATATAATTTACACAAAAATAATCATGAATCATTTTAGAAATAAACTCACACAAACGGACACACAGTGGAGTCAGTCGTTTGTGCTGTAAAGTTTCAGATCATTTTGAATCTTCCTGTGACCCCAGTGTGACCTTTAAAACTATCTCCAAAAACTCCAAAACTAAAACAGCACAAACGACACAAACGACAGACAGTTTGTGTGGTTGTGTTTGATGAGAGACTTCAGGTTCTGAGCCCCGGTCCACCCTCTGACACCGACACCACCCCCCGTCCTCCCCCCAGTGACCTCTGACCCTCTGACTCCCCCCCCAGTGACCTCTGACCCTCTGACTCCCCCCCCAGTGACCTCTGACCCTCTGACCCCCCCCAGTGACCTCTGACCGGATGTGGTCGTCGTGTTCAGACTCACGATGATTTTCATGAAGTAGTTGGACTTCCACGTGGCCCTGTCTTCCCTGGGCATCTTTGCAGTGCTTCCAAGGATCTGCCTCACAGCCGGTTTAAAGACAAGGAAAGATCTGGAAACAAAACAACAAAAACATGTCAGAACCAACAGAATCAGAACAGAACCGAGCCCCGGAGCGGGTCTGGACTCGGACACACGGAGCGAGTTCGGCGGGTTTGTGGCTGTAAACTCTTTGTCTTACATTTCTAGTATGAAAAGCGCGGTATAAATAGTTTGTTTGTTTGTTTTTGTTTATTTGTTGAATTTCTGCGGGAGCTGTTAGCTTTAGCTTTAGCCGCTCCGGAGGCCACGAGGGGAAAAAACAAGATATTAAGGAACTTTCCATAGTTAAAGCGTCAGTGCGGGACATATAAGGTTCTAGAGAGCACAGTGTAGAAACATGAGTGTGTAAATAGTCAAAGTGCAGCGGGATAAACGTGTTTAAAGAGAGACAGCGGCTCTTACCTCCGAACACGAGGGACGCGTGAAAGAAAGAGGAAAAGGCGGGGCCAGAGGACCACATATACACCTAAGGCGACCAATCAGAGCGCAGCAGTGGCCGGAGGAGCGCTCTGATTGGCTGAACACGCGTCAGTCACGGGTCACTCTTTTTCCGTTCTTATAATTATTTTAATTATATTTTATTAATAACAACAGATCCGGAGTTGCGCTGATAAAAACACTTCTGTGTCGATTATAAACAATCACAAATAATAAATAAATAAATAAAAATAAATAAATAACCCGCGTCTCTGAGGTCACGTGACTCCGGTGCTTCCGCCTCTTCTTCAGCGGAAGAGGAAGTGTCACGTGTGCGGTTATAAACATGTTGCTCCCCGCGGAGCTGTGGACGCTCGTGTTCGGGTTTCTGTGTCCCGCGGACCGGCTCCGCGCACGCGCCGTGTGTACGCAGTGGCGGAAGCTCGTGGACACCGCGGGTTTGTGGCGGGACTGGACCGTGGACCTGCGCGCGACCAGAGGCGCGTATAAGCCGCACTTCTGGAGCGCGCTGCGCCGCTGGAGAGTGACGTCAGCGCGTCTCACCGCGCCCCGGAGCTGGACGCACGTGGCGGCGGAGCTGCCGCTCGTGCGCGCGCTCGTCATCAGCGGATACCGCCAGGAGCGCGCGGACACTTTCCTCTGCTTCACGCGCCTGGAGCGCGTGCACCTGCAGCAGTGCGCTCTGCGCGTGACCCTGCGCGGGCTCCTCGCGCTCCTCCCGCAGCAGCTCACGCACGTGTGCGTGTGCGCGTGCACAGGTAAAAATCCGTTCTTTGATGATGCCGCTGTGCACGCGCTCTCTCAGCTCACGCGCCTTCAGTCTTTCACTTTCCACGGCGCGTGCTCGGTCCCTCCCACCTGTCTGCTGTACCGGCTCCTCCTGCACCTGCCGCACCTGCAGCACCTGTCCCTGTCCGTGCACGTGCCCGTGCATCTGTCCCTGTCCCCCGCAGAGACACTACGGAACCTTCCCCCGCTGCGGCAGCGCGCGCTCCGCAGTCTGGAGCTCGTGGACTGTGGCGCGTGGAGTTTGTCCGAGGACGTGATGAAGATGATGCCGCGCGTGCGCAGTGTGGCGCTCTTCTTCCGCGACGATCCCGGCGCGCGCGCGCCCCCCGCGGCGTGGCTCCGGGACCTGCCGCGCGTGTCCTCCCTGCTGCTCGCGCACGGTCCGCGCATCGACGCGCTCGCGGGCTCCATCCCCTCGTCGGTGACGCGCCTCGCGCTGCTGCGCACGCGCGTCTCCCCCGAGGAGCTGAGCGCTGTGTGCGCGCGCCTCCCGCACCTGCGGCACCTGCACCTGGACGCGCGCGCGCCCCTGGACGCGGACGCGGTGACGCGGATCCCGCGGCTCTTCCCGCGGCTCCGGAGCCTGAGTCTGCGGCTCCCGGGGCTCAGGGAGGAGGCGCTGTGGAGCCTCGCGGCTCTCGACGATCTGCGGCTCCTGGAGACGTACGAGACGCTGTCCCGCGCGTGCACGTCAAAACTACAAGAACTGAGCCAGAACCGAATCCGGACCAGAACCGGACCGGACCAGGACCGAGTGTGGAGCTGCGCCTGTGCACACTACATCCCCACAGAGACCTGGACCAGGACTGAGACCGAACCGGGACTGAGACCGAACCGGGACCAAACCAGGACTGAGACCGAACCGGGACTGAGACCGAACCGGGACCAAACCAGGACTGAGACCGAACCGGGACCAAACCAGGACTGAGACCGAACGGGACCAAACCAGGACTGAGACCGAACCGGGTCTGTGCACTGTGATGTACAGTACATGACATGTGTCAACAGAGGAGGGGGGTGGTGGTGGTGGTTGTTTTGTTGTTTTGTTCATTTTGTCTTGTGTTTCTTTTCAGTTTCTGTCCTTGAAGAATAAAAACAAACTCAAAACCTCAGGGTCACACTGTGTGTGTGTGTATGTGTGTGTGTGTGTGTGTGTGTGTGTATAGTGTGTGTGTGTATAGTGTGTGTGTGTGTGTATAGTGTGTGTGTGTGTGTGTGTGTGTGTGTATAGTGTGTGTGTGTATAGTGTGTGTATGTGTGTGTGTATAGTGTGTGTGTGTGTGTGTGTATAGTGTGTGTGTGTGTGTATAGTGTGTGTGTGTGTGTATAGTGTGTGTGTGTATAGTGTGTATAGTGTGTGTGTGTGTGTGTGTGTATAGTGTGTGTGTGTGTATAGTGTGTATGTGTGTGTTGTGTGTATAGTGTGTGTGTGTGTGTGTATAGTGTGTATAGTGTGTGTGTGTGTGTGTATAGTGTGTGTGTGTGTGTGTGTGTGTGTGTGTATAGTGTGTGTGTGTGTGTATAGTGTGTGTGTGTATAGTGTGTGTGTGTGTGTGTGTGTGTGTGTATAGTGTTTGTGTGTCCAGGTCAAAGTTTCAGTTTGAGTAAAAAAAACAAACTCATTTTTGTGTCTTTTTATTTTTTTGTTTTTATTTGCAGCAACGACTCAAACAACAAACAAACAACTCAGAGTCAAGACCAGACTCGGACCTGACTCACACCAGGACCAGACTCACACTAGGACCTGACTCACACCAGGACCTGACTCAGACCAGGACCTGACTCACACTAGGACCTGACTTACACCAGGACCTGAGTCACACTAGGACCTGACTCACACCAGGACCAGACTCCACCAGGACCAGACTCACACCAGGACCAGACTCACACCAGGACCAGACTCACACCAGGACCTGACTCACACCAGGACCTGACTCGCACCAGGACCTGACTCGCACCAGGACCTGACTCGCACCAGGACCTGACTCACACTAGGACCTGACTCGCACCAGGACCTGACTCGCAGCAGGACCTGACTCAGTCCAGGTTCTGTAGGACCTGGTGTGAGGTTCTTGTGGAGTCCAGGTTCTGTAGGACCTGGTGTGAGGTTCTTGTGGAGTCCAGGTTCTGTAGGACCTGGTGTGAGGTTCTTGTGGAGTCCAGGTTCTGTAGGACCTGGTGTGAGGTTCTTGTGGAGTCCAGGTTCTGTAGGACCTGGTGTGAGGTTCTTGTGGAGTCCAGGTTCTGGAGATGTTCTGATCTGATCTGAGCGACGTCGTCAGAATCCTGCTGCTCCAGAGTCAAACTTTACAAACCAAACAAACCAAAAAGAAAAAGATACAAGGACCAGGACTGGACCAGGACCAGGACCAGGACTGGACCAGGACCAGGACTGGACCAGGACCAGGACCAGGACCAGGACTGGACCAGGACCAGGACCAGGACTGGACCAGGACCAGGACCAGGACCAGGACTGGACCAGGACCAGGACCAGGACCAGGACCAGGACTGGACCAGGACCAGGACCAGGACCAGGACTGGACCAGGTGTATTCGGGTGAAGCAGGACAGTGACGGAGGCTTCAGTAGTAAAATGTTTGAAGGTGCCAAAGGAGCCAGCTCCAGATCAACAAACAAACAAACAAACAAACAAACAAACAAACAAACAAACAAACAAACAAACAAACAAACAAATCAAATCAAATCAAAGTTTATCTGAAGCCACAAAACCACGTCCTTCACCTGTCGGGACCTGACAGGACCCGAGAGGATCTGACAGGTGACAGGACCTGACAGGTGACTGGACCTGACAGGTGACAGGACCCGACAGGTGACAGGACCCGACAGGTGACAGGACCCGACAGGTGACAGGACCCGACAGGACCTGACAGGTGACAGGACCTGACAGGTGACAGGACCGACAGGACCTGACAGGACAGGACCTGACAGGACAGGACCCGACAGGACCTGACAGGTGACAGGACCTGACAGGTGACAGGACCTGACAGGTGACAGGACAGGTGACAGGACCTGACAGGTGACAGGACCTGACAGGTGACAGGACCTGACAGGTGACAGGACCCGACAGGTGACAGGACCTGACAGGTGACAGGACCCGACAGGTGACAGGACCCGACAGGTGACAGGACCCGACAGGTGACAGGACCCGACAGGTGACAGTCGTGGTGTGAGGAGCTCAAACTCTTTTCACAAAGTCAAACAGTTGAAAGTGAAAGTGAAAGTGAAGCTTCAGACTCAAACTCACTTCAGTTTCACGGCACAAACATTCACCTTTTTTTTTTTTTTTTTTTTTTACTTTTTATGAAAAATTGCACAAGGGTTTTTCAAAATTAAATACAGGCGCATGTTCTCACGGTCCAAGAACTAAACCAGGACTAAACCAGGACTCAACCAGGACTAAATCAGACCAAATGGAGTCTCCCTCAAGTCCAAACTTAGCCCTGAACAGTCAAAGCAGGACTGGACTTGGACTAACCTTGGACTCAACCAAGTCTCAACCAGAACTGAACCAGGACTCAACGTGAACTAGACCAGAACTAGACCAGAACTAGACCAGGTCTGTGGTCCAGGTCCAAACTCGCACCTGTATTTAATCTTGATAGTTTTGCATAAGTTTCTTGACATCAGCAGCAACGTTTGTTTATTCTCCTCAAACTCAGTAAACTCCAGTGACCTTTGACCCCTGTGACCCTTCTGACCCCTCTGACCCCTGTGACCTCTGACCCCTGTGACCCTAAGCCGCTCCATGGACAGTTTGGTGAAGCTGCAGATTCTGACACCTGAAATAATCTACAAAAATACACTTTAAAAGATTCATAATTCAGGTCCCCAAACATGTCCTGGAGGTTCCTGGAGGTTCCTGGAGGTTCCTGGAGGTTCCTGGAGGTTCCTGGAGGTTCCTGGAGGTTCTGGAGGTTCTGGAGGTTCTTGGAGGTTCTTGGAGGTTCCTGGAGGAGTTTGAGGGTCAGCTGGGTCTGGGTCGGGGTCTCAGGATCTTTTAAAACGAGCGCTCGTCCTGATTCGTCCGTTTGAAAAAGTGGGCGGGTCCTTGGGGATTCTGGGAAATATAAAACATGAGCCTCCATTTTGTCTCCGGTCACAAACAGAAAATCTCTTTGGGCAGAAGATTGTGTCCTCCTCACAGCTGCAGAACCTGAGCCCCACGACCAGAGCAGAGGTACCTGAAGGACCTGAGGGACCTGAGGAACCTGAGGGACCTGAAGGACCTGAGGAACCTGAGGAACCTGAGGAACCTGAGGGACCTGAGGAACCTGAGGGACCCAGACCTCGCTGCCTGTATCTGAGGAGCTGCTGGTTGGTGTTGGAGCTGGTGAGGGCTGTAGACACTCGTGTTTGACCAGAGGCTTTGGTGATGCTGGTTGAAGGTGGTGTAGATGGTTCTGGATGGTTGTAGAGACGCTCAGTGGTGGTTGAAGGTGGTGTAGATGGTTCTGGATGGTTGTAGAGACGCTCAGTGGTGGTTGAAGGTGGTGTAGATGGTTCTGGATGGTTGTAGAGACGCTCAGTGGTGGTTGAAGGTGGTGTAGATGGTTCTGGATGGTCGTAGACGCTCAGTGGTGGTTGAAGGTGGTGTAGATGGTTCTGGATGGTTGTAGACGCTCAGTGGTGGTTGAAGGTGGTGTAGATGGTTCTGGATGGTTGTAGAGACGCTCAGTGGTGGTTGAAGGTGGTGTAGATGGTTCTGGATGGTCGTAGACGCTCGTGGTGGTTGAAGGTGGTGTAGATGGTTCTGGATGGTCGTAGACGCTCAGTGGTGGTTGAAGGTGGTGTAGATGGTTCTGGATGGTTGTAGAGATGCTCAGTGGTGGTTGAAGGTGGTGTAGATGGTTCTGGATGGTCGTAGACGCTCAGTGGTGGTTGAAGGTGGTGTAGATGGTTCTGGATGGTTGTAGAGACGCTCAGTGGTGGTTTGAAGGTGGTGTAGATGGTTCTGGATGGTTGTAGAGATGCTCAGTGGTGGTTGAAGGTGGTGTAGATGGTTCTGGATGGTCGTAGACGCTCAGTGGTGGTTTGAAGGTGGTGTAGATGGTTCTGGATGGTTGTAGAGATGCTCGGTGGTGGTTTGAAGGTGGTGTAGATGGTTCTGGATGGTTGTAGAGATGCTCGGTGCTGGTTGAAGGTGGTGTAGATGGTTCTGGATGGTTGTAGAGATGCTCGGTGCTGGTTGAAGGTGGTGTAGATGGTTCTGGATGGTCGTAGAGATGCTCGGTGCTGGTTGAAGGTGGTGTAGATGGTTCTGGATGGTCGTAGACGCTCAGTGGTGGTTGAAGGTGGTGTAGATGGTTCTGGATGGTTGTAGAGATGCTCAGTGGTGGTTTGAAGGTGGTGTAGATGGTTCTGGATGGTTGTAGAGACGCTCAGTGGTGGTTGAAGGTGGTGTAGATGGTTCTGGATGGTTGTAGAGACGCTCAGTGGTGGTTGAAGGTGGTGTAGATGGTTCTGGATGGTTGTAGAGATGCTCAGTGGTGGTTGAAGGTGGTGTAGATGGTTCTGGATGGTTGTAGAGACGCTCAGTGGTGGTTGAAGGTGGTGTAGATGGTTCTGGATGGTTGTAGAGATGCTCAGTGGTGGTTGAAGGTGGTGTAGATGGTTCTGGATGGTCGTAGAGATGCTCAGTGGTGGTTGAAGGTGGTGTAGATGGTTCTGGATGGTCGTAGACGCTCAGTGGTGGTTGAAGGTGGTGTAGATGGTTCTGGATGGTGGTTGAAGGTGGTGATGGTTCTGGATGGTCGTAGACGCTCAGTGGTGTAGTGGTTCTGGATGGTCTCAGTGGTGGTTGAAGGTGGTGTAGATGGTTCTGGATGGTCGTAGAGACGCTCAGTGGTGGTTGAAGGTGGTGTAGATGGTTCTGGATGGTCGTAGAGATGCTCGGTGCTGGTTGAAGGTGGTGTAGATCAGGAGTCCAAACCTCCTTCACTGAGGATCACAGGGCGGGGTTGGAACACAGTGTGATGTCACTGAGGGTTTGGAGGTAGAACTACGGCCTGTTTTCATTTGGGTCACTTCAGGAGAAGGTCTGAGGGCCATTGTTTTACACATCATGTCTGCTCTAGATGGTTCTAGATGGTTCTAGCTGAACAGCTTGGAGAAGCAGGCGAGACAGTAGGGCTTGTCCTGCTATTGGTGGTTCTGTAGATGTTGTGGATGGTTCGTGGTGGTTGTGTAGATGTTCTGGCTGATTGTGTAGATGTTCTGGCTGGTTCTGTAGATGTTTTTGGTGGTTCTGTAGATGTTCTGGCTGGTTCTCAGTGGTTGTGTAGATGTTCTCAGTGGTTGTGTAGATGTTTTTGGTGGTTGTGGAGATGTTCTTGTTGGTTCTGTAGATGTTCTGGCTGGTTCTCAGTGGTTGTGTAGATGTTCTCAGTGGTTGTGCAGATGTTTTTGGTGGTTCTGTAGATGTTCTGGCTGGTTCTCAGTGGTTGTGTAGATGTTCTCAGTGGTTGTGCAGATGTTCTTGTTGGTTCTGTAGATGTTCTGGCTGGTTCTCAGTGGTTGTGTAGATGTTCTCAGTGGTTGTGTAGATGTAGATGTTCTCAGTGGTTGTGCAGATGTTCTGGGTGGTTGTGTAGATGTTCTGGCTGGTTCTGGTGGAGGTTCTAGCTGAAGAGCTTGCTGAAGCAGGTGTGGCAGTAGGGCTTGTCCTGCTGCTCCTTGAAGGTCCCCTTGTTGAGCTGCTTGAGGCAGAAGGCGCAGACGAAGTGCTCGGGGTGGAACTTCCTGGACATGGCGGTGATGCAGCGGCCGGTGATGGGACGCTGACACCCGGAGCACAGAGAACCTCGACGCTCGTGATAATGAGACTCACAGAACGGAAGACCGTCGTGATCGAAGAAACTCCCGTTGACGAAGGGCGTGAAGCACTCCTGAAAAACACCAAGACCAACGAGAAGAAGAAGAACGAGAAGATGAACGAGAAGAACACGAAGAACATGAAGAACATGAAGAACATGAAGAAGTTTGGGAATGTCATGATGTTGTATTTTCATTTTTTACAAAGACAGAAGTAATAGTACTAGTAGTAGTAGTAGTAGTAGTAGTAGTATAGTAGTAGTAGTAGTAGTAGCAGTAGCAGTAGTAGTAGTAGTAGTAGCACTAGTAGTAGTAGTATTTGTAGTAGTAGTAGTAGTATTTGTAGTATTTGTAGTATTTACCCTGCAGACGAAACACTCCGGGTGCCAGAGTGCGTTCAGTAGTAGTAGTATTTGTAGTATTTGTAGTATTTGTAGTAGTATTTGTAGTATTTGTAGTATTTGTAGTATTTACCCTGCAGACGAAACACTCCGGGTGCCAGAGTGCGTTCAGTAGTAGTAGTATTTGTAGTATTTGTAGTAGTATTTGTAGTATTTACCCTGCAGACGAAACACTCCGGGTGCCAGAGTGCGTTCAGTAGTAGTAGTATTTGTAGTATTTGTAGTAGTATTTGTAGTATTTGTAGTATTTACCCTGCAGACGAAACACTCCGGGTGCCAGAGTGCGTTCAGTAGTAGTAGTATTTGTAGTATTTGTAGTAGTATTTGTAGTATTTGTAGTATTTACCCTGCAGACGAAACACTCCGGGTGCCAGAGTGCGTTCAGTAGTAGTAGTATTTGTAGTATTTGTAGTAGTATTTGTAGTATTTGTAGTATTTACCCTGCAGACGAAACACTCCGGGTGCCAGAGTGCGTTCAGTAGTAGTAGTATTTGTAGTATTTGTAGTAGTATTTGTAGTATTTGTAGTATTTACCCTGCAGACGAAACACTCCGGGTGCCAGAGTGCGTTCAGTAGTAGTAGTATTTGTAGTATTTGTAGTAGTATTTGTAGTATTTGTAGTATTTACCCTGCAGACGAAACACTCCGGGTGCCAGAGTGCGTTCAGTAGTAGTAGTATTTGTAGTATTTGTAGTAGTAGTAGTAGTATTTGTAGTATTTACCCTGCAGACGAAACACTCCGGGTGCCAGAGTGCGTTCAGTAGTAGTAGTATTTGTAGTATTTGTAGTAGTATTTGTAGTATTTGTAGTATTTACCCTGCAGACGAAACACTCCGGGTGCCAGAGTGCGTTCAGTAGTAGTAGTATTTGTAGTATTTGTAGTATTTGTAGTAGTATTTGTAGTATTTGTAGTATTTGTAGTATTTACCCTGCAGACGAAACACTCCGGGTGCCAGAGTGCGTTCAGTAGTAGTAGTATTTGTAGTATTTGTAGTAGTATTTGTAGTATTTGTAGTATTTACCCTGCAGACGAAACACTCCGGGTGCCCAGATGCGTTC